GAGACTGTATGAATACTACAGAGAAACGAACTAACAAATAGGATGAACTAGGAATAAGTTAATGGGTGATAAATATAAGAATAATAATGACTTTGATTATTACATTGCCGTCGCGAACCAACATCAGTCAGAGAGATCGCTGAGAATGATGGAGCACTGTACGGGTGTTTCGTTTTACTTTGGAACTCCTAAGCAGTCAGCACCAATGACGTCACTAGAAAATGAACCCGGAACTTTCGAGTAATGCTATCAAGCTTACTGGCTATTGAGCGACCTCAGTTGGAATTCGGTGACTGCTGAATTCTAACTCATATGGACCCTACTGCCAGTGGATAATTATTTTTAAGAACTAATATTTGCACTTTTACACACTTCATTATTTGTTTCTTCAGATAAAACTTCCTTTTGATACATATTATCCAAGTGAAGCGTAGTTTTAAGCTCTACTGAGAGCAATGAAAAATTAAAATTGTTTGAATTATGTGGTTTTTGTATGCAGATTCGGTTTTCATTTTCATTGTAGACTGGTATTGACATTGATTGTCAATGGCTCTATATCACGAGTTCACTAAGTTAGAACACATTGGTCACTAGGCGGCTAAAAAGTCACCAAGCTCATAGAAGACATGGCCAGCCTCCTCTAGATAGATTACTAAGGACACCATAGACCACTAAGAACGCCAGCTGTGGTCTTACTCAAAGTTCGGTATCTACCAAGTGTGATAAGACAGCACCATTTACACATTTGGTTGTCTCTTTACTCAACCGTACAAATGCGTCTTCATTTGCGAGCACAGATAAGCCCTCTAAGTACGACCTATGTAACTAGCTCCATAGGAGCAGTTTAACTCAAAGATGCGTACAGATGAGGCCATCAATGTTAATTTGTCCTTGGTTCTATGTGTTAGTTCTACTCTAGCTAAGGAACTGAGTACCAGTTTAGTTGGAGGGAATGTTCTCACAATCGATCTGTTGAGTTAATATGTTTGAATGTCAATGACAGTTTCACCTATATTACTTGAGCTATGAAATTTTCTCGTCTACAGTATGTATATATATATATATATGCTAGTACATCTTGATTCACTACTGTTCACACTTTATGAAGCTCTGATTACTTCAACTAGTGACTGCCAACAGGGTGAAGTTGCCTGGAGTTCTACTGAAAACTTGTGGCTCATTAGGTCGACATGTTGGGGTTTGAGGACACATACTCACCGATGACACTGACTCATAGTTGCGAATCGATGGAAGTTGGAATTCATGGACTTTTGGCTGTCATCCTAGTAGGTGAATGATAATCAAGCTCATCTCGTAACCCGAAGGTCTTCGGTCTGACCTTGGCTAAGGTCGTAGGTGCATACTGATGTAGAGTCTCAAACTAGCAGGAAACAGCTGTCCTTCTCTAACTGATATGATTTGGTGATAAAACACGAAATCAATCAAATCCCTACAAACCAACATCTGAAAATTAATCGATTATAATCAATTCAACTATTGATTAAAAATGCCCATTAAAATTTTCAAAACAATAGACACGGAACAAAGAGAACTCTTTTCGATAAATTCATCATCAGGTTCTACAATTATTATTATTATTGATTTGATGTTATTTAAATATTAATGTCGTTCATAAGACTAATTCATTCATTCATTATAATGTATATATAATTGTAGAACCTGATGATGAATTTATCGAAAAGAGTTCTCTTTGTTCCGTGTCTATTCTTTTGAAAATTCAACTATTGTTTGACCTGCTTTCTTTCACCACGCACACACAATACAAATAACATTATTATTATGCAAGGTGGTACCTTTGCATCGCCCACTAAACGTGAAACATCATCTTCACTCACACACTCATTATCTGATGGGTAGCCAGGTATCTTGATTGCACATGTAAAGAGGCAGTTCAGTAGATTCCTAAGAAGTTTCGTTCAATGAGGCTTTGTCATTCATTACCCAGCTAGTTAGTATAAGTGAGATTTCTTCTCCCTGCCCCCCCACTTCCACCAAAATGCAAGTGTGGTAATCGTATTCAGTGTATTCACATGTCTAAAGGTGGTGCAAATCAGTTTAAGAACGTCATGCAACAAACAGTCAAACGTTTAACTGATTTGCTCTGGCTACTATATTCACTGAAGATGCCCGTTATAAATTTCATAACGCTTATTAGTCAATACAAGGAATATTCTTTTCAGTGTCACTTGTTCAATCGTTACAGTTATATGTCCATAATAGTTAAAGGTTAATTCATACTGACAATATTAGTTGCATTAAAAGAACAGAAAAAACTTAGAATCGTTCAGGTAGAAATTTCGAGAGGTGTTTGTGAATAGACCGGTATTGAATTACAGCTCAACGTATTTTGTATATGATAATGTTCAGATAACATGAAAGTAAATTACCATAAATATCAATGAATGTACAGTGATAAACAATCATGCTTAATTCAGTTCAACTTAGACTTTCCTGTTGATTCGTTGAGTTGAAGTGTTTGGTCTACGTTGACCTATCGGCTCCGTGCGAGGGTACTTTGATAATGTCAGAGAAGTCAACTTCATGAGTCCCAAATACGACGTAATACGCCTCCTGGATTCCACTGTCAGTCACCATCCACGGAATTACCTCAGGTTAAATTCTCAGACGTCGTTGAAGTATCAGCACAACGAGCCGACATGTCAACAAACGTCAAACACTTCGGTCCAGCCAGTCAACGGGAAAGTCCGAATCGAATAAAATAATGACTGATACCAGTCGCACAATAGGTAGCTGTCGTGATCTAGTGGATAATGCTTTGGTTCAAGCCTCAGTGAGAAAATCGTCAATCACTGGGGAATGCACTGTATTCAGATGACGACTCCGAAACAGGATGAAGTGCGCATCCTGTATTCCACTCCTAGTCACCATCCGCCAAATCTTGATCAGTGTTTATATTGAATTCTATTCACCATAATTATAAGCTTCGTATGAAGCGATATTAATACCTCAAACCTGGTGAGGAAATCGGGTAGACGGTGGTTATGTATGTGTGTGTATGTGCGTCACAGTATATATAATATAACGGAAGATATATTAAAAAAATCAAACGTTTGTTCATACATGGGCTAGACAGAATCTACGCACAATTTGATGTTATCTTAGCAAAAATATCAATTATTTCTTCAACCCTTATGGATAAATGACTGTAGAATCTGAAGAAATTATCTATAAGTATATACTTTGTTCACTAATCAGTCTTTCAACTACCATATGTTTATGACTTTCATTCAGGTGTAAATAGAGACTGATCTGCAAGACGGTCGATTGGTTTCAAGTTTGATTATAAACTGAATTTAGTTAGAGAACCATTGAAAATCAAGGTGTACAGGACAGCAGCACTCGCGCATGGCCCCACCGGGGATTGAACTTAAAACCCTCAGGTTACCAGGCGAGCTCGTTATCCATTCATCCATTGGGACTGGAATCAATGACCAACTCATGAATTCTAACTCCTACCATTTCGTGATATTATCTTGTTGACCACCTGCCATTGTCGTTGGTGTGTGTATCTCTCCCACTCCCCAATATTGTGGACCCCGCTGCTCATGGCTTATCACTAAGGCTTCAGATGATTTCATTCTGTAGTCATTCACGATTCAGCACCAGGTTAATTTTCACGTGCTGGTTTGCAAAAAAGATTTGAATGATTTCAAATTTGGACACTACAGACCTGAATGCTAAGTTATTAGGCAATTTTACTGTTACTTTGGGTTGTGAGTGAAAAATAGGGCTTCAACGGCACATTTTCAGTTTCTCCAATTCTCTGTGGTCCTATTTATCTGACCCCATAATCTTTCATTATCTCTCTCCTCACACGCAATCCATTGCATGTCACCCTAGGACACACACATACGACCAACCCCTGTCCCCTATTTTCATCCCACTCGGTCGATGAGCTGACAAGAGATGTCCTTCAACGGTCTTATCAGAGAGGGCCCGATCCATCTCCATCTCCTTCTACATATTTTTTGAGCAACAGATTCTGGAGTGATTCGTTCAAAGAGTATCTTGTTGCTAATTCTGTCTGACTGGAGATCTGATACTGAGTATGAAGCGAAGTCAACAGTTGACGAAAGTCTACACTAGCCTGTTGGAAATGCTTTTCGTGATGCGCATTCCAAGTTTATGACCCACATAGACGAAATGATTGAATCAACATTGTTGCTGAATACCCGAATCTTGTTGTTTATGCTGAGTGCAGAAGATCCCCACACTGATTTCAGAGTGATAAAGGTCTACTTTACCTTCTCTATTCTTGCTTTGATGTCCTTATTCGTGCCGAGTGCTTGTAGTTGAAACGATACTTCCTGGATAAGTGAGGGAAGTAATGTCGTTCTAATTTTTGTTGTTGACAGTGATTGGTGCTGTTTGTTGTTGTTGTTGTTGTCAGTTGGTTATCTTCATCACTTCTGTCTTCTTCATGTCTATTTGAAGTCCTGCCTACTCTACCTGCCTTTTCTGTCGGTTTGTTGCATTTCACCTGTAAACATAAGACATAAATCATTCGGGAAATGCGTTATAAGGCCTAGAAAAAACTAACTGACAGCTGATGTTACATCACACCTTTGTTGTGAAAAAAGATGAAATAAAGAGAGGAGGAATTCCTGGACTGGTAATTATGCAGTTTATTGACTCATTATTAATTTGTGCGTCGGTGGCATAGCAGTTAGCACACTCGCCAACCATGCACATGGTTCGGGTTTCGATCCCCGGCCGAAGCACTCCTTTACCTCCCTAAGCCAGAAATAATACTGGTGAAGAGGAAAGGTTAAGCATGAGGCTAGCAACCCCATCCAGTAAAATAGATAAACACTGCTACAGAAACTCCAAGCCACTAGCTTGAAGCCCTATGTTCCACTGGGGAACGTGAAGGAGAAAAAATAATAATTAATTATATTACTTCGATGTTATCTCTTTTTAAATAATTTCATTTACACTGTCTTATTGTTTTCTTCAAGGATTTTTCTATTTTTGGGGAATTCTTTTCATGATATTCAATACACTCATAGTATTATTACAACATGAAGAACATTCAAAATTGGATCTACATCTACATCATTGGATGAAATGTTTATGCAATAAATTTAAGTCAAAATCAAAACATCATTTGACATCACCGAACTCTTGTCAAATGATAATCACTGATAAATTCTCAGATTTGATATCAAATAAATCCTATAATGAAATGCACAACAGTACAGAGATGAATACAGAAACATTTAACACTGATGGTGTTCAAAGAGAAATTTCATATTATTCTGAAGTCAAAACAATGCCTGAACTAAATGAAACTGAAGTAAAAGGAGAACAGAATCTTTCTTTAATAGGAACGTATAAAGTTATCTTTTGTGTTATGCAGCTAAAAGTAGTATGGATGTACTTGTTACTGATAATTATCTCCAAGGTAGGAATGTGAGAGTAATTTTGTTTTCACTGGTTTTATATCATTTTTTTAATATAAAGTTATACGTTTTATATTTTTGCTGTACCACAACACGGTGGTGTGGCAGTGTCAGAATGTTTGCCAATCACGGATGTGGTCTGAAGTTCAATCCCCGGCCGATGGCGCACTTCTACACGTCTGTTAACCGAGAGTAAGCCCGATGGTAAAAAGGGATGTTTGACCGTGAGGCTAGCAACCCTGACCCATAAAAATAAAACAAAATTCTATAGACTCTTCAGAGCTTAAGCTTGAGACCCTATGTTCTACTGTGGATGCAAATGGAATAGAAAAAATAGAATAGTGGTACATTAGAAATCTTAGGACCACTGATTATCCCCTCCCCCTAATTACAGAATAGGCTTATAAGTCAAATATGTACAAGTATCTAACTTTAACAGAATGGGTTACTGTGCGTTTTATTTCAAGTTTGATTGCTGATTGATATCAGTTTGCGAACCACTAAAAACCAGATGAGATTACTGGAGACCTGTTTCGTCCTGCTTTGAAACTCATTGGCAGCACGCACCTAAGCGGGTTCAAGAATAGAGCCTCCTAGCTACAAGGCTAGCTCCTGAAAGTTAGAACTCTTTGGCCGGTGAATCGCGTAGCAGTGGCTGAATGGTCTATAAGCTTGCTTTGCAACTGGATAGTCCTTGGTTATAAACCTAGTGGGTGTGTACTGCCGATGAATTCCAAAATAGAATGAGACAGTCGTCCAGGACTTCCTACTACCTTATGGTTTTCTGCCTGATATCGATTCGTGAACGAAATTGAAATCAATCAAATCCCTGCAAACAAACTCTCCAGAATGTTTTATTGTTCTTTATTATTCGAAATTTTCTAATCAGCACTTTTCATATTTCACATGGCCACTCAGGATTAAAATTTCTTAGAAGCAATTGAATGTGACACATTTTTTACGAATATTGCTTTTCTAAAACGATAAATAATGAAAGACTTGAATTCTGCTGAAGAAGATGTGGCTTGCATTGTAAAATATTCAGAAAAACCTCTTTGACGTTTTTAAAACACGTTGAGATTATATAAAGTAGTGTTTTTGACTCATTCAATCTGACTCGACGCTCAAATTAGTTCAGGGAATGAACATAATACTCGCATGCTTTTGAATTCTTTGAAATTTAATTCTAGTACTTATATTTGATTAGTAGATTAGTAATATTGAGTTCTATATTAATCTAGATAAACAGCATCTACTTTCAAACACATTTAAAATTTATTACTCAATAGTGTGTGTGCGTCGATGACACAGTGGTGGAATGTTTGCCTACAACGCATGTTGTCCGGGATTCGATCCACGGCCGATTCACAACTTTACTTTGCTAAGACGTTAGTAAGACCGGTAAAGAAAGAAGGACAGGTATGAGTCTGAGACTAGCAACCACACTCCGTAAAAGTAAACACCACTGCTACCAAAACTTCGAAACTCTAGCTTAAAGCCCTATGTCCCACTGGGAACGTAAACGAATAAAAATTGAAAAAAATAGTAGTTTGTATTTTTTACACTTTGTAATTCATATCCTACTAGCGAACACAGGATTATCTCTATGGCAGATTTTCGGAATTCTTTAGCATAGAGAACGGTTAAGATTTCTCTTCTTGCGTTGAGGTACTCAAATGTTGAAGCTGGCGTACTGCGCTTCAAATGTTTGTTTTCGGTAAGTCCACCTTTCAAACTTACCTTCCTGTCTTCTACGTAGCATCACATCTTAGAAGTCAAGTACAATAGTGAAAAACACATAAGGGTGAGAACCATTAAAGAATCCGAGAAGCTGAGTAGTTGAGCAACTGTCATCACAAATAATGGTGTCATAAATATATTGTGTGCGTCAGTGGCACAGCGGTTAGGACAGTCGTCAACCATGCACATGGTCCGGAGTTCGATCCCCAGCCGACGCACACCTAATATCAATGGTCGGCCTGCAAAATTGGGCTACCGATATTACATACTGAAAATTCCATACTTTTACCAAAAATATGGTTTGGAGTCAAGCTATAATCAAAAAAGAAATAAAGAATATTGCTTAAACAAATGCAGAATCGTGATTGTTTCTTTCAATGGACCACTCTCTATGCTCAACATGAAGACATTCTCTAGGAGAGGTCCTAATGTATCCCAAACGGTGACCCCATCTCTCTGACTACGGATATCATCGTTACATCTAAGCTGCATATTAAGCGTGCATCTCAATAAAACTTCAGATCGTTAGTTGGCACTACTATGTTCATACATTTAAGGTGGATTTAATCACATAGAAAACAATAAGTAACTACTTATGGTACATTTGTAAATAAAGAGCATACATCTGCAATTAGTAGTGTTCTCTGAGCTGGTTGGTTTAGTTGCGGAGCGAACATCTAATAAAATCATGCTTACCAGTAACATTAATTCTGTCAGCGCAGTGAAGAAGTTAAAAGTGTCCGAAAGTCTATGTTTACATAAATTTGATCTTAATGGTTCGTGGACTTCTTCGAGTTATTTGGCTGCAGGATGAAAACAGGAGTTTAGCACATCTGATATAGGTCGTAGAGGGACACTATCTTTATGCACCTCAGGAGGACCATATAAACTGAGGATGGTTGAACCAGAGGGCTTGCGATGTTCGTACATATATGAAGTAATAACAGACTCGTTCTTCAACTTCTTCAAATTTTCTGACAGTTCATTCTGAATACCCTGCTTTCTCTCTTTCTAGTTGTCTGATTTAAAAATTTTTGTTCATCTCAAAGAATGGTTCATAATTTGTTAATGCAATTCACACGATTCAAAATAACTATGCCCGATCCTTTATCTCGACGAGTTAGTATTATATCCTAATTATTCAATGATTCACTAAATTGTCTTTATGCTCTTTTGGTGTCATTTGTAGTTGTTTGTATGGAGCTCTTAAGTATTGATAATAGCAATGCAGTAGTAGAGACTTGAATTGTTCTATGTCTTCACAAGACGTTGAAGTAGGTCCTGTGTCTTAGACATAAGATCTAATTTTTCAGCTCCAAATGAAGCAGTACAAAACATGGGAAGATCAGAAAGCATCTTTGTCTGAATATCAGACAGAGTTACACTAGAATAATTAAAGACATACTTATCCGGTGAATCCGAGAAATTCATATTAGATCACGTTGTTTTGTAACTTTTCATTATCTTAATTCTTAAGTCATAAGATCTCTTCTTTATCACATCGGGCATATACTCCTCAAATAAGCTTATTTCGGTCTGCGTTAGTTCATTTTAGAAATGTACGCGTTGGGATAAGTTATTCTAGAGTTTTGGAAGACGTGTTTGCATATCACCGACCAACTGCATGTTCAAAACACACTGATTGCAATTCAAGTGGTTAAATCAATAAAATATACCCTCATTTTATCAGGATTTTTCTGTTTCCACTTGCTTATAGAAGAATTAACTCGAAATCTAAAATAAAAACAAATGCCTCTGTTTGAATGTTTTTTCCCATTCTCATTGTGACGTGAGCTACTGACAAGATTTGTCAGTAGTTTAGGAATAGGTGTTCATCAGTATTTGTCAATGATCCTTAGCGGAGATCTAGGACTGTAAACAGATTGGCACTTTGTAGGCGATCGAGAGTTTCTGCTACAGTGGGCATGCAACATAGTCTCAGGTCTTCTAAGCTGTTGAGCTCTCAGAAATCAACACAAAATTTATACTTCCCCCGGCTTTTATTCGCTAAAAATGGGGCTGTTGGCTTCTTCACTAATATCATCCACTCATCTGTCGTTCAGCTTCCCCTTCCAAATGCTATGGAACTCTTCGCATTGTGAATGCCATCACTTTCAAACCCATCATAGCGATTTCATGCCTTACGTATGGATCTGCATCTCCCGTGAATAGATGATCGTATTTTCTAAGTACCATGGTTATATTCTTCATTTTCAGCGTCTCCATACCCACTGTCTCATTGTTCTCGTGTATGCTGATGGATTCGTACTTTGTGAGTACGGTCCTTTCTTTATTAATGATAATCACTTCTCTCAGAAAATCAGATCACAAATATTCTTGTCTTATTATTTTATGTTTTAGGTGTGCATGGGATTTGCATCTTCAGCTACACACTTAAAACTAGTCGAACAAGGATTCCCAAGAGAAAATATTGTTGTCTTTGATATCCTCTTTTTACCATTGGATTTTATTTTACCATTTGTGTTTCTACGTTGGACTCATGGACCGAAACCATTAACCCTTTGCATGATAGCATTTATACCCAGGTATTTATACATATATACGCGTATTTCAGTTTCTTATATTCAGCAGTAATTTATATTGTGTTGTACTATACAAAATTAAATCACTTATGGGTATATGCGGTAATTCAGAAAACATATTTACATTATCACGTGTATGTAGACACACAACTGATTCAATCAGAACAGACAGTCTAAATGCCTTATGAATAAAGAATATCTCCTACTATGAGCAGAGTAATGTATCTAGTCTCCTGAGTAAATTGAGACATTTTAAATGTATCAAAAATTCATGTTTTATAGATCTGTTTCAGTGTCGCAGAATGATCAAGACTGCAATTCAAAAACAGTATTACTTGCGAGTGTAGAAAAACAATAAAACACATTTCTTGTTTTTATTACAGTATTCTATATGTTATTGAGACATACAAAGGTGTTTGAATTAGTTTACTTTAAATAAGCCTCTTAACTAAAGTAAAACAAAATGGTGATATCTGGAGGTGATAGTGAAAAGGAACTCATGCGAAGAAGTAACTGACCAACCAAACAACCAAGAACCTATCGTCCAAAAGATACGCCGGAGGAAATACAAATAAGTTGAAAACACACTAAATTGGAAAGACAATTGATTGACATCGTATTCCAGAGAGATCCTCGAGTGGCAACTTAACGGGAAACGACAAGTTGTGCATTGGTCTCTGGGTGACAGGCTGATGTTGACATTCATTCAGCTGCTGCCTTCGCTTGGTAATAAGAACTTGAAGGCCAGCAAAAGGTACTTGCAAAAAGAAACTCTGAAAACAACCCAATGAAGTATCTGTCGTCGAACAAATATTCAGAAAGTAAGAGAGATTCATGTCTGCATTTGACGTACAATAAAGATACCGCTGAGTGACACTGAGTGCTAGGCTGCTGCTTGAGTCGAACTTCAATAGCAAACAATTTAGTAAAGTTTGGAGAGTCACACGCTTGAAGTCGTGTGAGGAGGATGGGGAGGAGAAGGAGAAGGAGTTTCCAGTTCATGGACGGTTGTGCAGTCAGCCAAAAGGTACTGCAGAGATGAGGATGAAATAGAAGTGTGCTGTTGAAGCTCTTTGTTCTACTCAGAAGCTAAAGGAATAATCATAATACTCAACTTCAGAGGAGCAGATAAATTTATATATTCACACTGATATTTGCCGACAGTTGAAAATTATCTATATTTTAGTGAATAATATATCGTGTAGAGGAGAAAAATAAGATGTAGAAGCACAATCAAGAATGTTTTGGTTTTTACAAATTGCTCTTAATAATCTATTAAGAAGAATATCAGCAGCTGTGTCTGTGAATTATGGAGTTATAGATTTACAAAATAAACTTTTTCTTTGTTACTTCCATAACTGATAGATGGTCATTCGTATTTCCCAATATTTTTTCATAAATGTAATTCATTTCATTGAAGATGCCTATAAAAAGTTTATATGACAGTAAGAAATAAAGGAAATATTATTATGCATAACATTCATGATTGAAATTTCATACATTGATTCCCCTTAATGAATTTGAATAAAGCAATTACAACAGTGGTACCATCAATTTTAATTTCATTGGCTTCTCATTAGCGCGGCTGCTTACAGGGAAAAGTCATGATTAAGTTTATCTACAAAAAACAGTTTTCAAGAGTTGGTTCGTAGGCATCTAACTGATTGGTTACAGGATTTCATCATGAGCTGACATCACTTAGAGAACCACTGGAAACCCTGCAGGGAGTACTGGACAGCTGTTTCGTCCTAGTTTGGGGCTCTTCATCAGTACGCACTCACGAGGTTCTAGCCCAGGACCTTCTGATCACAAGGTGAGCTCGTAGACCATTAGGCCACTGCGACCCGATCCAATGGCCCATGAATTCTAACTTTTGACAGTTCACCACATAGTATAACCACTGACCAATATCATCGGAGAGTATTTGTTCTCACACCCGACCTGCTAAAGCCTACTGGTCACGAATTTCCATTAGAACCCCAGATAACTACCTACCTGAATACGGCAAGTCACCAGTGAGCATCTTATCGATATTCAAGTGTTGGGTTTGAACTTCGTGGGTGCGTCCTGCAGAAAAGTCACAAACTAGGGTGAAACACTTGTCCAGTAATCCAAGGTTTTCCAATGGTTCTCTAACCAATGTCAGCTCATGACAAAATCCTAGAAACAATTTTAACATACTTGCATAGAGTTCATTTTTAAACAAAAATCAGTCAGTCAATACATGCATACAGTAATAATATATATAATAATAGTAACAAACACTTTATCCCTAACAATAATGATCATACACAATGGAAACTTCCGGCATTACGTAGTCAGATGGAAGAGAGGGTGAAAATGCCCAATTACCAAACAGGGCAAGGAAAGACTGATAATCCCTTCTTTCTGAACGCATAGATACGGTTTCAGACGCTTGATGGAGATTGCTTCGGCATACTTGAGGAGAATTGAGCTTCATCGCCTTTAGATAATTTTTAACAATCTTGTGAAGTCCACCTGATGACCCTTGTCAAGGAGATGCCTTGCGATGGCTCCGTTTAAAGCATTTATTCCCTTTAGACATAGGCTTTTTGGTACAAGTTCAGAAAATCGGAGGCATACCCTTTTTTCTGTTCTTCCAAAGTAACTGCTCCCGCGCATACATGTAAATTTGCATATACAGTTGGAGTTGAACTGAGAAGGATATATGTCAATTTTGGATTGCACTAAAGAGCCTATTGTCCAATAGGCGGGAATATTAGCTTAGCTGCAAGATTGGCTTTGCCTAGTGATGTCCTCAGTCTTCGATTGACAATTGCTGTAATATTTTAACCTTTTAAATCAAGTTGAGTGTAGACGGGCTATTTTCCACTGTGATTCGCCTGACATTTCAGCCTTCAGATCTTCCAGACTCGTTTATGAACAAATCCATGATTGATTATATACTGAATCAGTCAAAAGCATCGACAGATTAAATTTCAAAAGTTTCAGTAAGAGAGAAATAAAAGGCAGTAATGTAACACCCAAACTGATTGAATACCAGATAAACTGAGGAAAGTAACAGAGAATTCATGAGTTTATGGGTTCGAAAGCAGGTCAGGGTAGAGACAGTGGCTGGCCGAACCCGCGTGTTTTCCGCTCAGAGCCCTGGTTGTTTCAGGCGAATCGCAATGACCCTTTGCTGTTTGCAGTGTTCAGTATCTAGAGACCTTTTGGTAATTTATTTGATACCTGATAGATGATAGAGAAAGACACTTCAGCAGGTTGCTTCGTGGTCTTTTTGGACGACCTTATTTAATACAGAACTGTTGAGAGTTTTAACAACACTTTTATTTATTTATTTTAATTCCCTTGCACGAAACATTAAGTTCATAGAGCAACGGTCAGTACAGCTGGCTTCACAGGAGGAACAGTCGAATTCATAAATACCATCAGAGGTGACTAGTCTGAAAACTTCGTCTTTCAGTTTTCGAATTACAGCCGATAGTGTGGAGAGTACAAGCCACATCTTGCCGAAATCAAACGCTCTTTGAATTGATTTTCTCAACTTGTTGATTATTACTTCCCCTGGTAAATCAGCCCCCTTTAATTACAGTCGTTTAGGTACGTGTAGTGCAATATTTTGTGAGTGTTTAGGAAACTCAAACCTTCAATAGAAAATATCTGTTGGTTTTTCCGGAGAAAATGTTATATGAATTGGTTAGCCACCCATTTCTCGTAGAAGTATTCAATAAGGTTGGTGTATACTCATGCAAGTGTCATCAATGGAGTGTTTATGCTGTCACAGATATAGCACAATTGATCTATTTGCATTTCAAAATCAACATAATTTATGCTCATTTTCCTTCTATCATTTGACTGAAAGCGGTGTATTCAACAACTTTAATGCATACTGTAGTTCTGTAAAGGATACCAGCTGCAAATTTCATGTTCTTACAAACTTTTCTGTAAAAAAGACGTCAATTAAATCAACAATGACAATGAAAACGCTGTCCATAGCAGCTTTATAATTTTCATTTGGGGCTGTTTCAAGAAACATTTATTTTGCTTCTGTCAAAGGTCAAATGATGCTGCAGTACTCAGCTCCATCGATTGTTAGCTTACATATAGGAAGTGAAGTAGTAGAATGTATTGACCGATTCACTTACCAGGGTGTTGCATCAACCTCAATAGGCTGGTTGATGTCGAAACTTCAGCATGGAAATAGAAGTCTCGTATGGCATTTGTCAACTCACGTCAACTCTGTTGTAGACATGATATCTAGCTGTCAACCAAAGGACGAATCTGCTATGCACCAGTTCACTTTGTTCTTCTTTATGACTGTGAGAGATGGTTATAGGAAGTGGAAGATATGATAAGTTCAGCTTTCTTTCATCGTAGGTGTCTGTGTTCTATCTCCCTTTTTAGGTGGTATACTAGGGTGAGTATTGTTCAGGTTAGGCATAAAGTGTTTTTTAAACAGGGTAAGTCAATCGATAAAGATTGAGATGGCTAGGACATGTGTTAAGCATGCCTAGCCATCACCTTCTTCGACGAGTAATGTTAGCTGACCAGCTGATCAGATTGGAAATAAGCTAGTGTTAGTTAAAAACGAAAAAAACGGTATCAATCCATGAAATCCACAACGTTTAGTTTGAGCCAGTCACGCAAGGAAATGTAGATTGTCTGGTATTGGTCTTCGAGATGATAGGAACTGACGGCCGGAGACAGTTGGGGATATGGCTCAAAATTGTTTTCAATGGTTGGCGCAGATGCATTCACTCTTTGTGATTTGTCGTATCCAAAGCAGGCGAATTGGGCATGTGTTTAACAATGAACTTCTCAAGATAACTAACGTGTGTATTCCTGTTATATAAATGTACAACCTCATAAAGACGAATGTATCGAAAAGCATATTCCCTTGTTAATTACTCAGTCGTTAAAAATGTAAGTCAACTTTTAGGCGCATATTATTTTAATAAAATTCTCTAATATTATTCACACTGTTGTTTTTTTTTTGTTTCTTCTTTTTTTCGCTAATGTATATATCAGGTTGATTTTCAATATTTTCAGTATTCCTATCATTCACTACACTCCATCGTTTCGTGTAGATGGAAATATGAATAGTGGGAATGCTTCTACAATAAATAATACACTCTCAGTGAATATGAATAGCAGTAATGCAGCTGCAGCATCATATTCTTGGTCATTTTATGCAATTCTAGGCGCTTTTGGATTAAGTGAAACGCTTCTTTTTAACTTTATGTTATTGTTACAAATGGCTTTCAATGCAAAGATCAGTGATCCAGCTATCGGTGGAACATATATCACACTGTTGAATACTGTGTCAAATATTGGTAGGAATTTTGAAATTAAAAAAGTTGTTGAATTCTTTAAAGAAATTTTATACTTATATTTGAAAAATATTATGACATTTAGACTTTTATTTATTTTTTCTCAAAAAGCAGATGTGTGTGTCCAACTGTTTGCAAATATTTGTGCTATTATTATAGATAGATAAATTGTATAGAGCGATTTGAATTGTGATGTTCAGTCAACTCAGAGGAATGCAGAGCTTCAATGTGAAGTCAGTGTACTTTATGGATAAGAGACTTGGCGCTTCATGAAGAGCACCTCAAACAAACTGCAAACCTTCATCATTAGCTGTCATCGCTCAACACTCAAAATTAGATGGCTGACCAGAAAATAACAGTAACAGGGATCTCTGGCAATGAGCGAACAAACACAGCAGAAATCAGTTGTGCCACAAATAAGCAGCAAGAAATGGAGGTGGATTGGCCATACTCTGAGAAAACAAACCTTCATGTGAGTGACATCACACGACAGGCCATCACTTGAGTGGAAGCCAAACGGGAAGCAACAGGTTAATCGTCAGTCAGAGGTTGGAGTGATATGAAGGAGGTCATGTGAAGAGGAGATGAAGGCATGTGGGCAGACGCGAAGGGAGGTGAAAACGTTGGCAGAGAACAGAACGCAATGGAGACGCACGGTTGAATCCCTATGTTCCTCTAGGAATTAAAGGAAATGATAATAATACTATAATAACAATGAGTGTAAGCCTAATGCTTCATCTTCTTTCTTGGCTGGGCTTACAACCAGCTAAGGAATGTAGAGGTGTGTACCGGTCGGGGGTCAAACCCTGTACCACATGAGAAGTTGGTGGCGAGGATTATTAAACCTTAACCAGCTGTGTTGGGAAATGGTGTTATTAATAAGTGATTCAAAAATCAGTAACCCTTTCACTTGAACAAATATGATTAAATGAACAAAGAAACTAATGACAACAGTAAAGATGAGAAATCCTATTGATTCTGATGAAATGCTATTTTTAAAGGATTTCATGAATTATGTAATTTATACATATATATATATATGACATTTCAAGCCTGGGCTCCAAAGTTTCAGTAGCAGTTATTTTATTCTTTTTTTAAGGAGTAAAGTTTTTAGACTCACACCCAAACTTACCTCTTCTACCAAGTGGCTCACGACTGGCTAAGCGAGTTTAGAAGTGCGTTGATCAAGGATCTTACCCTACAAGATGTGAGGCGTGGTTGGGGAGTACTCCACCGGTCAACCACTGACATATCAAATAATTCAAATAGGCCCGGGTATTCTCTGTGTTTTTAGATGCCCTCCTTCGGTTATATTTCAAAAGATATTAAATTCAATACTCAATAAGCTGATTTTGGTGAGAAAAGTATCAATTCAATTGTTTTATCACAGTGGGGGCTTATTTTCATGGACTACGCCAACTAAAGTGTATCAGAGAAATGATCACTAGCTTTCAATGCTGCTCCTTGAAGCATACAGAAGTATGAAGGTGTCACTTCTCTTCTACCTCGCTTTCTATATATATATATATGTCAAGTGATCCACAACGGAAAACTCAACGAGGCTTTTGGAGTAAACACAGGAGTCAGACAAGGGTGCTTATTATCACCAATGATATTCCTAATTGTGGAGAACTGAATTATGTGTCAGACAGTGGGAAACGAGAAGACAGGGATATCCTGCACCACCGACGTGAAGAACCTAGAAGACCTGGATTTCGCGCGTGGATGATTTATGTTTGATGTCACACAAAATCGAAGACTTACAAGCGAAAACCGACAAACTGGTCGAAGATGCTGGCAGCAAAGACAAAACTCCAGGTGAACATTGACAAGACGGGGGTTATGAAAGTAACCAACCAACAACAACAGCAGCAACATCCAACGGCAATCACCATCAACGGGAGGGATTTGAAAGAGGTTACTTCATTCACTCATCTAGGGAGCACTGTCTCAACTACACGAGGAACGGACGAAGATGTCAAATCGAGAATCGGGAAGGCGAGAAACACATTCATCAACCTGAAACCAATCTGGAAATCTTCGAAACTCAACTCAGCATCAACAACAAAATTCGGATTTTCAATACAAACGTCAAGTCAATTTTGCTATACGGATCAGAAATTTGGCGGGTCACAAAGAATATTTCCAACAGCCTGTTGCAGACCTTTATCAACAGCTGTCTTCGTTCTATACTGAAGATCAGATATCCGGGAAAGAATCACAAACAAGAAACTATGGGAACAAACAAAACAAGAACCAATCGCCTGACAAATATGCAGGAGAAAGTGGAGATGGATTGGACATTCGCTGTGGAGTCCACTGGGTGACATCGCGCGTCAGGCCAGTGCCCGAGTGGAACCCGAAAGGGAAGTGGCGAGTGAGACGTCCAAGGGTGACATGGAGGAGATTGTGTGAAGAGGAGTTGAAACAGTATGGACTAACATGTATGCAAGTGAAAAGTACAGCAGAAGACAGAAACAAGTGGAGACGTGCAGTTGAAGCCCTATGTCCCACTAGGAACCCAAGGGAACAATAATAATAATAGTAATATACACATGTATTAATGACAGGAGTTTTTAACCACTCAAGTGATTCATCGAAGAGACATCTTTTGGTGGTTTCACTTACACAACTGATATACATTCGCAATTATATAAAATTCTTTCATATGACAATACAATACTTTCACATTTAAAATATATGGTAGCAAGTAGAATAAATACAAAGTTTTCAAGTGTACGTTTGCACGGATTCAATTGGTTACAGCTTTGATTATTGGTTGATATCAGTTAGAGAACTATTTGAGAACAAAGTAGTTCTAGACAGTTGTCATGCCCCAGTCTGAGACTCCTCATCAGTACGGCCTATATATGTACATATATAAATCGAGAATTGGCAGAAGTTGGAGAATTCATGACACAATGGATCACTTCCCAATGGTTGATTAGTCTACAAACTCACCTTGTAACAGGACACTCCTGCGTCCAATCCTCGATAGGTTCATGAGTGCTTTTCGATAAAGTACCTCCACATATGGCGAAGCAGCTGTCCATCACTCCCTGGTTTTCAATGGTTCTCTTATTGACTTCCCCTCTCGTGATTGAACCTATGAGCACAAATTTGTTGACTTTAGGAGATGTTCATCAACATATGATAAAGAAAGCTACAGAGAAAACGAATAACTATGTATGTGATATTACTTAATAAGATAAATTGTCTACGAAAGCAATTATTAATTAGCAAGAAAGACCTCGAAGAAACAGACAAGAGGTGATACTGTTTAAGAAAAAGAAGGAATACGTCATTTGTGTTTATTTTTTAGTAATAATTTAGGATAAGAGGTTTAATTACATGAGAAGAGGGTTGGCTAAAGAAGTCTCTCCTGTATACAAACTTGTGACTTCTCCATTTCAGTGACTAAAGCTTCAGTGGTACAAGCGGCATAGATACTCATCTATCTTAATGCCTCATTTTTGACTTTATAGATTCACGAAGAAGTTAAAAGCCAATTCAGCCAAGGAAATTTTCTTTATCGACGAAACCATCTTCAGAAGCTGTAAAGTCGTATTTCTATTTACCAAAGATACATAATAGTCCATTACTGAGTTATAGAGGGGGGCGACAGTTGATATAATTACTCAGAAGTGGCTTCTTCAATAAAGAAAATTTTCTTCGCTTAGTTGTTTTTTATTTTGCTTCATGATTTTATTGATTATTCTAGTGGAAGAGGTTAGAGGGATAAAATGATCAGCATTGATAAAATGTTCAATTACTGTACTTCCTATAGCTTCATTTTCATCCCTTGACAACTACGCAGGGTAAACTTGTTCCACCACTTTAGACAAAATCCCCATGGTACAGTCAATATGCCACTGTACACACAGACAAGTGAATATTGGCCAAGTATGGGATCTGGTTGTATATCTTTTTTGAAAAGTAACACTCATTTAGAAAACATTACTCTAAGCTATGCTGCAACGAGTATCCTCCTCACTGATTGTGAAATCCTTATTTAAATGATGTTAATAGCTAGGCCACTTTTAATTTAATGTTATTATAGAACTTCCTAAAATGTGTACAGCAAGCCACAACTAACAGACTTTTGTTTTATATCTCAATCTACGACAAGTGACCAACAACCGTTTTCATTTAGGGCGTTTCTTATGTGATTAAACTATTCTTCTGTAGCATCAGCGTTACACATGCGCCGATTGTGAATGTTGGGTGACTGAATCAATTTTGTTTTGAGAATAAGAGATATCCAGATGCAGAAAATACTTCTGCTTACCACTCTATGACATTTTTCTCTGAGCCCACGTCCTCAGAGTATTATCACTCCTGCTAGAACATTTCACACTAACAAAGAAATATTAAACTCGTTCTTCATTTTAAATGTGAATTTCATCGCTGTACGGAAGCTATTAGGTGAATTTAATTTGTGATTAATATTTGATCACAAATAATATAGACGTCATCCATCTAACTTTTATACGGCTGCAAACCTTAGATTGCTGACTTCCCTTGACCCCTTTGTAGACTGAATATAAAACAATTATCAAACAGAAGAACAGAAGGAAATCCTATGAAATTACTTTCCTTTTGTTTGTAGACTGCCTCGTTTAACTGAAAATTGTACATTTAATGCATATCATAGTAGCAGTTCTTTCAGATACGTATTTTGTACTCTCCACATATTTAGCTTGTTATCATCTGTGCATATAGAGAATAAAAGAAGTGAGTTTTTTTCGTTGAGATTTTGGTGAAGAGAAATTCTGAATCTAGAAATTATATTATTATTATTCTCTTACGTTCTCAGTGGGACATAGGGCTTCAAGCTAGAGTTTGAAAGTTTCAGTAGCAGTGGTGTTTATTTTCACAGGATAGGGTTTCTAGCCTCATGCCAAATCTTCCCTCTTTACTAGACTTACTACTGGCTCAGCGAGGTTAAGGAGTGCGTCCGTGGCCGGGGATCGAAATCCTGACCACTTGTGTGGTAGGCAAGC